GTATCTTAACAGAAGCCGGTATTTGGTTGGTTTGGTCGTTAGGATCCATTTGAAATAGGCAGTTCTATGTGTTCTTGCTGCATGCTTCCTCTTCTCACAGGATTCCTCAGGGCCGCTAGAGATTCCTTAAAGGCTCTGCATTTTCCTGTGCCCGCCCTGTGACCAGTGAATTTCAAAGTGGGCAGCTTTCTTCTTCTTTGCAGGATTTGGCTTGGTGGCCCTCTACGCCGCACCGGTAGCACGAATTAGTTCTGTCCGGTCCAGTACAGTTGTGGGTCTTCTGGTCGTGTGACCAGCATTTGCGGCACCTTTCTATGTTTAATCGCTTCTCTATATTACACCTTACAACTTCTATTTTGAGAAACTTTTCATTGTTCAATTTTTCCGCCAGTTCTTTATCAATTGTTAATGTGTTCCATTCGTTTGGGGTTTCTTTTACCTCACCTACTATATCTTCTATCGCTTGTAGTACCTTCTTGGTTGTTATAGAGTCCATTCCCCGGATGTGTAGAGTTTCCTTGGTTTGCCTAGATATTCCGCTCACTCTGGTTTTTAGATTTTCTGATATTCCCTTCATTTAGTCTCGTTGTAGTTTCTCCGTCTTTTTCCATTGTTATAATAAGTTTCCATCCTTTGTATTTCTTAACCCCATGATCTTCTCTCTTCCACCCATGAGATTGATTTTGTCTCTTATGTCTCTTATTAAATCCTTTGTATCTCTTCCTTGCTCTTCTACAATATGGGCCTAGGTTTTCCGCTCGGATCTCTTTTCTTCTCGGTTTAGAGGTTTTTTTCCTTCTTCCTGGCTATTTTTTTTCTTGTTGGTGGTATAAATGTGGATTCTGGTATTTGTTTCATGGAAGATGGCTTCAAACATTTTTTGAAGTTAGGTTAGACTCATTTCGTCGACATAGTTTGTGGCGATCGTTTGTTCGCCCTGAATTTCTTGTAAGTTTATTCCATAAGTACCACTGAATACTTCCCGTGTTTATTTTGATGATCCTCTGTGTAGCCACTGTGGTTTGTCCGCCGATTTTGGCTTTAGTCATTTGTTCTAATTCTCCATTGTCGTCTTTGAGATTCTCAATCCCAGGAAACCTTGACTTTTACATCGCTTGTATGCCATTATCCATATTGTGGTCATTTGGGTGTACTAATACCACTTTGGTCGTGTCGAGGCTTGCGCTTAACGGATTTCCTACGATAATTTCGGTGTTTGCAAATAATTGTTTTGGCCATGTTTCTTGTGCGCCTCGAGCCCATCTTTGGTATGTGTTGATACCCTGAATCGTGATCTCTCCTGTCTGTGAGCCTTTCTCGCTCGTTGTCTTCCCTAGGTGTAGTATCCTGCTTTCTGTTTCTATATCTGCTATTTCTAGAGCAGTCTTGCAAGTTTGACAGTGCATATTGTTGCTTTTGGAGGTCCTGCTCCGTTGTCTGGAACTTCGGTAGTTGTCTTTTCGTATCTGTATTCTTCCTGCCACTTTTTTACTTGCGTTCCGCTCAGCACATTCATTTGCTTATTGAGCCTTTGAGCAATATTCTTTATCTCCTTTTTTGTGTTCTGTTCGATGTTTTTGTTTAGCTCGGCATGGAGGCGGGCTACATTTTCCATAGCTTCCATTAGGATAGAATATTCGAGACTTTCTCTTTTTTTGTTCGTTTCCTCTTCCATAGAAGAGCCTCGGTAGAATAGGAATGCTATAGGCTCTTCGTCTGCTGTGGGATCCATAAACGTTTCTACTCCTGTCACCTCTTGCTCCGGTACTGAGAGTGTTCGTCCTCTTGGAGGCGTCCTTTTGAGCAAAGGTCTCCTGGCAAGAAAGACGGCGTCTGTTCCAGTATTTGTCACCTGCGCCCTGACCTGGTTCCCTGCCAAGGGCATTCTACAGTTGCTTGTTAACGGTCGGATCTGGCTTGCACCTCCACCAGGGTTCCCGACCGGTACTGAGGTATCCCCCCTGCGCCGTAAACTTGTCATTTTTCGTTGCTTGTGCCATCATTGTCTGTTTGTTTGTGTGAATAAGAAAGTCTGAGAGAAAAATAGTGTCCCCTAGCCCTCGAATGCTCTAATAGCGTCGGGAGCAGAAAAGTAGAATATAGAATTACTTCTAAAGCCCTTGGTGTAGTTTTCATTGCACCAGTTATCTGTTCGGCCTTATGTCCCCAGACGATAGCCCCATAGGTAACTATATGCCTGATGATGGTTGTACAGAACCACATAACTACCTTAGGTGAGAACCCCCAGGTCTTACCGATAGTACGTCTACACTGTTCATAGGCGATATATGCTTTCTGTATTCTCTAAGCAATATGAGAGTTCCATGTTAGTTTGCAATCGAGTGTCACTCCCAGATATTTGACCTCGGCGGCAAAGCTTAGTTTGGTGTTTAAGAGTCTGGGTGCTGTCCAAAGTACCAATTTCCTCTTTCTTGTGAATAGGACCATTTCAGTCTTCTTGGGGTTGAGTTTATTCCGTGCTCCATCTTTCTATAATTCGAAAAGCATGTTGCATGCACTTGCAAAGCGAGTTCTCGAATTTACCTCTTTGCAAGATGACTACGTCATCTGCGTAAGCTATTGTGTGGTGATTGTCATTTTTTAGGCAAGCAATAAGTCTGTCCAGAACCGTGTTCTACAGGAGAGGTATTAGCTCGCCTCCCTGCGGGCACCCTCTTGTGACCATTCCTTTAATGTTGACGTCCTGCATACTTATCTATACAATTCTTTTGGAAAGCATATTGAATATCCATCCGGTAATAGTTTCCGGAGTATTCCTTTCTGTTAGCGAGTGGCTAATTTTTTGAAAGGTGGTTTTGTCAGAGGCCGATGAATGATGAGAGGCTTATGGGGCGATATGCCTTGGGGGTGGTGTAGTCCATCCTTCCTGGTTTGGGTAGGGACACCACTTCAACTTCTATCCAAGCCTTGGGTATGTATCTCTGCGCCAGAGGCGCCCTGAACATCCGTACCAGGTGCGGCAAGAGTGACTTTAGACCCCACTGAAGTAGGGCTGGATAGATACCGTCAGGTCCTAGTGCTTTGAAGGGGGAGAAGCCTGAAATTGCCCAACCTCTATTTTCCTCGTATATTATCTGATTCGCTAGTTGCCAATCAGCCACAGAGGGTTTGGATGTTACCTGCGTCTGATCCTCCACAATTGTGGTTGTGGAGTCAGGAAAGTGGGTTGCCAGTAATAAATCTGTGCTTTCTTGAAGGCTGACAGTGAAGGTGCCATCATTCTTGCACAGGATACCAATTTCCCGAAATGGGTCTTTATTAAGAGCTTTCTGATGTCTCGCCGCTTGCGTATAGTTTTCTATTTCATTGCAGTATGTCCAGGCATTTCTTTGTTTTTGTCGTACGAATTTTTTATACTGGTTGAGTTGGTACCTATAAAGTTTCTAATCCTCAGGTAGTTTGGTGTTTTTAGCTTTATTGAAAGCTTGTCTTGTCATCACCCTGAGGTGTTCCAGCTGACACCACCAAGCAGAGGTGTTACCAGGGTTTTGGAACATCCTCAGTGGGCTCGACATCTTTCAGGATATTATGATGGCACCTTGGATGGTATTGGCATACCGCTCCATTTCTTGGTCATATTGGATGTTTCAGCTGCAACCTCTCGTAGAGCCCTTTCCAGATCTTGCACGTACTGTGCAATATTGGTTTTTTTTTGGGTCACGATAAGGTCTTGCGGTTTAAGGCGAGCAGTTCAATGTGATAATTATCCATCGGTGATCCGACATAAAAACTTCATCAGATACGCGCCAATTATGGATTGAATTTGATATTAATACTGAGCACAGGCATCAAGAGTTTAAGAAAGTCGGTATTGTGCCGTTATTGCATATGAACAGATCATTGCCTATTATAAAGTCAGACTTACCTTATGGATTTATATCCTGACTTCCCCAGTTGATGTGGTGCGAGTTGGAGTCACACCCCACGGTGCCTGACCAGCTCTACAAGGTCTCTGTTGGGTGGTAGCAACTCAGCATCTGTGGAGAGATATACCAAAGCCAGGAAGATGGCTTTCTTTTGCCCACTGTTGTTCTGCATCAGTTTTGACGGCAGTTAGGTCTGACCTACATAGCTGTGTCAGTAGGTGGGCTGTGTATGACCGACCTGGGACAATGGATGACCATCCTAGGTTGGTTATTGCTGGGGTTGCTATTTGCTTTTCCATCTTTTTCAAATAGGTATGTCCATCATTTGTTGATTAGTATTTTCCTTGGACTTCCAAGATTTCCCAGAGCAGTTTCTTATGGACTTGTTTGAAGTAATTATGATTTTTTCTAATGACTATCGTAGAAGGTTTCAATCGTAGTCGGCGATTTGTCACTATGTTTTTTGATAGTTTCCCGTTTATGAAAAATCTAAAATTAAGCACTACTGGTTTTATTTGCCTTTGTGGTGAAAGATGTGACCAGATTTTCATATCTCTTAGTTTTCGCCTCTTTTTCTGACCTCACTGATACCAACAATATCCGACCTCATTTGATTTTGTTTATCTCGTTTTTCATTTCGATAAGCCTCTCCTCCAGAAAACAGGATTTTGGTATTAAATATTGTGACTTAAAGAGCTGTACGGTTTTTGGTAGGTATCTTCCGAAAATTTTCATGGTAAACTAGCGCCAAAAACTGGACTACTGGATTTTTTTATAATGGAACCTGTTAAGCCTTTCTGCCAACCCGTTTTGTTTTTGTTCTCTCCTATACTACACAATACGGTACATGTACTTGGATGATAGGTACCAGCTCTCAAAGCCACATCTTACTTTCTAGCTATAAACCTACAACTAAAAACTAACAAACGCGCTAGTACTTACTAACAAATTGCTTGTGATTTTGAATGTGACATGTTGGGAAGATTGCCGTAGCATATAGTACAAACTAAGTACAACATTTTATTATTTTTTTAAAAATTATGTTTGGTTTGATACTTGTACTAATATTTCAACACTTGGGAGAATTTTTAATCAAAATACCGTCTTTCTTAGGCCACACGTTCCAAACGGCCCACGTGCGAAGCACCAGGACCATATTGGAGCGAGACCACGGTTACGATGAGTACTCTGAAAAAGATCACTTGAATACTCACCCGTCAGTCCATCATCTACCACCGGACGATTACAGAGACAGACCGTTGGACAGGGTACCGTCGCGTAACCTCCGTAGCAGAGAAGACATAGATTTCCCTACGTCACATAAAAGCGCTTCTAGAAAAGCACTGAACGCCATCTAGTGGAGGCTATCTACGGAACAACCCATTGAAGAGGAGATTCAGGATCACGAACTTTCTCCGAGCGCTACAGAAGTCTACTATAAACCCCAAATTCCTAGAGCGTATAGAGACGATAGACTGTTGGGCTACGACGACTCCTTTGACCGGCCCCGGTTGGAGGTGGATGGTAGATTCGTCGGTAGAAAATTGGAGGTGTATCCGGAAGAAGGACCATCTACCAGGACTACCAGGAGGTACCCGGACGATAGACAGTCTACGGCTATAGAGAAGAGCAAACAGGAAGGCAGAAATTATAGGAAGGAGTTGTTGGAGAGGTTTGACGCTATGGAGTTGGATGACCATCCCGAATTCCAAGGCCCTCAGAGGTATTACGAATAAATATTTTGCTGTTTTAATGGTGTATGGAATTTTTTTTCTGTATTTAAAGCAGTCACGCATTTAAGTAGCTATTCATCTGCAAAGTTTTCTTATTTGTATATTACTGCTTTTGAACTGAAAAACATAAATATATTTATCCACAGGGGTGTATCAGGCAAAAAGTTTCTAGTAAACTGTGGATCAAATCTTGGAACTTTTTAATTTCAGCAAAATATTTAGGTATGGTATGATCTAGCAACGTTCTACCAGAAAAATGCATGTTATATAATTTTTTTCTTCGTTCAAAATGATCCATATTTCCACGTAGTTAAATTTGATACAACAACTTGTATTTCAAATACATTTCTCATTAAAAATATCTAACGCAAACATCTGTCTTCCTAAAAAAACTATAGTTAGTTCATTTAACTAAACATCAATCCGTACACCATAGACTAGATTGTTTAAATAATATCCATTACTTAGATCCAATATGTATTTAAACAACCACCCATTAGAGTAACAACAAAAAAATCTTATGATTAGATAAATGTGTGTTAATGTTCATGTTAAACTTAAGGCTATGCTATCTTTAGCATTAAAAAAACATCCTGTATCAATAAACCCTTAACTAAAGTGAAATGGATATTTGAGAATAATTCTAGTGGCAAACGAAAAAAGGAAAATACGTGTTCAAAATACCTCAGGGTTCTTCAATGAGATGTTCCGTAACCAATTGTGATTTTACCTTATAATATTATTAAAGAAACAAATAGAACTTTAAAAATTTCGACCATTTTGGTGCCATATTTGAGTACAGCTCAATTTTAAATCATCTATAAATAAAAGAAGATTATTCAAGCTTTAAAAAAAAAACTGTAGCGGTAACTTAGGTATTTTTTTAATTTGTTTTTGTAAGGAAGGGTATAATTGTTGAACATTGTATTTTATACAAACAAAAAGTACTGTCTTAGATTAAAAGAACTGAGATATTATACTTTTTAAATAAACGGAACGTGTAACTCTATTATTAGAGTATGATTACGTTTTTTTTTGTGTGTGCTTATTGTTTTTGGGGTATTAGGAGAATTGTCAATAATTAATTTTGAGTTAGTCTTGATTCAATTTAATATCAATTCTATTTTGAGCCTTTTGTGTAAATTATTTCAGAACTATGCAATCGTATACGCACAAGTTGTGAACAAATATAAGTAAGTAAAGTAAATTGCGTTGTGCAGTATTATTTAAGTTGCATATCTAATGTGAAGTTCCAGATAAATAATTATATTCATTAGAAAAATATAAACAAGGAAAAATCAGAAAAATAAAACACCATAATTTCCTTTAAGTTAACCAAAGATATGACTGAAAAGATTAATAACCAAAAGACTTGTTAGGGCGTATGACTGGTATTCTAAGACAGGAGTCCTAGTTTTAAATCCTAGTCAAATCAAATTTTTCTACGCCCTAGGTAGGGGCTGTTAATATGGTGATTCTGTGAGCTCGATATTTCCTTAAATTGATGTCAAGCTTCCTATGGGTGCATCTGGGACTATTGAGTTGACCCTTAGAGGACTCTTGCGGTACACAATAGAGTGTATCGTAGAATTATTTGCTTTTGGAAGATGTACAGTGAGCTCACATAGCAAAGGGATAGGGCGGCTTCCGCAGAAGTCAGACACCACATAAAGTCTTAGATTGCATGTCTTTCAAAATAACCTCAAATTTTGAAAGTTTCTGTGGAGGTGGTCCAGGAGTTTCATGCTCCTTTTCCATGTATAACGTAGAATCATTTGCTTTTGGAAGATGTATATTGAGCTCACATAGCAAAGAGATAGGGCGGCTTCCGCAGAAGTCAGACACCACATAAAGTCTTAGATTGCATGTCTTTCAAAATAACCCCAGACTTTGAAAGTTTCTGAGGAGGTGGTCCAGGAGTTTCATCTTCCTTTTCCATGTATAACGTAGAATCATTTGCTTTTGGAAGATGTACAGTGAGCTCACATAACAAAAGGATAGGGCGGCTTCCGCAGAAGTGGTTTGGTTCCAGAATCAAAATATAGATTTGCCTGTACTAATGGGTTCTGAAATGAAGAATTTGTTGGTTTTAGCTCATATATGGAGTCATTTGTGTCACTAGAAGTACTTGCTATGTTAAAAATTATTATTGACAATTTCTCTTATACCGATCCCCCAATTTATATAAATAGTTATCTACAAAACTTACCTTCGTGATATTAAAATAATAATTAAAAACAAATTATATCGTCAAGCTTATTTTTGACTGATTCTTAGTAAATTAAATTAAATTATAGAACAATGTTGAAGTTTGCACTGCTGTTAGAATGTTTAAGTAAGTCCATGCATTGAAATGAACTAGAGCTTTTTCCGAAATTGTTTTTACTTTAACATAGTGATGGTAATTTAATTTACTTTTGATATATTTTCAGATTATATCACTTACTCTAAGGTAATTGAAATTGTAAAGAAGTTATTTCATATCGGAAAAATTGGCAGAATATTGATTATTTTAGATTTTTATACAGGTTTAAGGGTAGACATATCGTCGGATAATCTTCTTATAGAACAATATATCGTCTTATCCTACTTTCACTATATTTTTCATTCACAAAAACAAGATTTTTTTATATCCACTTACAAGTATAATTCTATTGTGAGATACCTTGTAAACTGTTTGTTCGAGGGATCAAATTCCTCTAGTGTGCCATGCTTTAGAAAATCTTCTGCAAAGTTTCGACTTTTAACAATTGGCGTTTAGCTTAGCCCTAACTTTTTCTCTCGGTGGCTGACTCCGTCTTATAGCGCGTCGTTGCTTTCAGAATTGTCTCGATAATTCGCTTCCGTTCCCTCCGGAATATCTGGAGTATTGAGCGGTGAAATTTAATTCCAGAATTTTCTAGTCATCAGGCAAGATTGTACACTTTATCCCCATCAACTTGAGATATATTTCGTCCAGTAGTGGACTTCACTATGGTATGTCTACCAGCATTTTTTACCAAAATTATCGGTGACAATCAAGAAACAAAACTAATATTTAAAGAAAATAGTATTGACCCATTGCTGTAATATCTACTACATTTATAGAAAAATCTTCCGTAAAATGAGTAGGGGTAAAATCTGAAAATAAAATAGATTATTGAGGTATTATCGGTTTGTGAACCTATACAAGTTATACAGAAAACAAACATTCATGTTTTCCAGAGTGGCTCAAAAACTGTGAATTTCACTAGTCAAAATTTGAATAATTTGTGAAATTGTTGGAACAAACCTTGTGAATATCTCAATAATCCAAAAAGCCTTCAACATAAATAACAAAATGCATGTTTTTACTAAAGGAGAAAATTCACCGACCAATATCATAAATGATTACACTAAACCATGTTTTTGTACAGTACTGTAGTGTTGTAATACATATATATTTTTTTCATTTGCGGTGACAAGACCCTTAGGCAAATGAGGTGAGTTTTATAATTTTTTTCTGAGAAACACCCCCTAATTTCTCATAAAGTAGGTACAATTTTTGATAATTTGGCTTGTTTCCTGAATAAGTAAATCCTACTATAATTAGTTGTAGGTACTTTAAAACTATGTATACAGGACGTGCCTACTAAATGAATTATTTTGTGCAAATATTTATTTGATAATGTTCCATAAATAACACATGTTAATAATAAAATCACTGTGTCGTCCTGTTAATTAATTTTTGTAGTTTATTTTGGGTCTTGTTACTAACCCTTGATAGACTATTTACTTTTCCTGAATCCAATACCTACCTACCATTAAAAGAAAAAAATTCAAAAACTTGTTAATACACTAAATATTGAATACTTCTTATGCTGAACTTTAAACATTGTACATAATAGTAAATATTATTTAATTATAAATATTGTAAACATTGTCTATAGAAACATCATCATACTTTTACGTTTAAATCTATTTGTGAATGTTTAATGGATTTTTAAATGTGTAAAACAATTAATTTTAGTCTGAATGTTTATTTTGTGTTATATGTTCTTTTGGTTCTATAAGCGCCTTGTCCCCTTTTTACTATGTAAGATTGTACATTATAAACAAAAATTTACCTTATAAATATAATAAGAGAAGGGCACAATAAGTGTACCGTTTTTTCTAAATAAAAACTATACTGAAGTTACGATGTGATGTGTCAGATATTTATTTTTGTTCCTGAATATCAACATAATTTTATCTTAGTTTTTTAGGTATATGCCTCAAGGAAAAGTATAGTGGGAAAATAATTGTCAAAAGTGCACATCACTTTTTTTCAGATGAAATTTCACTGTTTTAAGTACGCGTCAGGAATAAATCTACTGTGTATTTAGGTGACCTGAACTTGGCCACTTTTCCCCCTCCTAATCAAAAAAAAAAAAACAAATCTAGTCTAGTTATATGTAGATTTCGGAACCCTAGTGGATCTCCTCAATGCAGTCGAACCCATAGTATCTGAGCCTGTTACTGCTGTCTCCCAATTATGTTCAAGTAATATGACTGGATTTCATGTCACAGAACATGACGCGGACAGAGAATCTCTTCTCTCTGTTTCTCCAATGGATTCTGGGGAACCTGCTACCACTTCAGAACCCGATAAGGGGTTTGTTGTGAGA